GTTTGCTCTCTCAACATTGCAAACTCTCAGACTGAAGAAGTCTCTTGGAGGAGAGACGAAACGTTTCATTAGAGAAGAACCCGTCCAGAAGACCTATACAATTTTTTTCTTTTTTAAAACAGAGTGTAAGCTAAAAGTAGCTCAAATAAGTTCATAATTACAAGATATTATTGAAGACACCCAAGAGATTTTAGTGACTTTTAAAGAAAATTTGGTAAAAATTTAAAAAAATTTGTATACTATGAAGAATCTTGACAACGTTCTCTTAAATGAGCTAAATATTTTGATATATAAAGAGCTAAAATTGTACAAAAGTGAAGGAAACTGAATGTTGTGGCTGCAGGTTCTGGTGACCCTCAGCGTCTCCTACATGGTGGGCGCCGTCGCCTCTTTCCACAACACCAGAGTCGTCTTCATCACCGTGGCGGCGACGACAGTCATCTCTGTCACAATCATCGCCTTCTCAGCTCAGGTGAGGAGAACCTGAACCTGATTTAAGATCTAAGATGTTTGTATGAATCAAGATAATTAAAYATTTTCTGTCGTATATTAATGATGATTAAAAAAAAATTTTCAGACTCGTTATGATTTCACGTATTTTTATGGCTTCCTGCTGGTTTTGGTCGTGGACGTCATCATGATGGGGTTCTTCAGCATCTTCTTCTACTCCTACATGGCTAACGTGGTCTACGGATGTCTGGGAGCTCTGCTCTACTCACTGGTAACGAGAGAAAACTCACATTTACTCACAGTTATATCAATTGAATTGAATTGATTAAAATAACTTTTAATTTTGACAAATCATCTCCAGTAAGTGATTATTTTAAATTATAAGAGTGCATTGGTTGTTTAACATGATGTACTGTTTAACAAATCCAATTTAAAATGAATAAAACAACAAAAATTACAACTTGATTCACAAAAAAGAATAATACAGGAATGTAAACTCAAATTATTTGAAAAAGATTTTTACGATTAGAATTCATGCTTTTGTTTTCAATATTTGTTATGAATTGGTGCTTTACAAAATAAAAGCACAAATTTTACTCTGAGGTCATTCTGTTTGGAATCACATAATTCTGCTCAAAGTGTTAAATTATCATTCAAGTTCATATATTTATTAATAAATGTTATTATCAAAATCTATTCATTAACCATTTGTTCACTCTAAATATGTATGGAGGTAATTTTGTGTTTTTATTATTCAATCAAACAAAAAAAGCAGTTAAAAAACAAGTTTTATCCTATCAAAAATAAATAGTTTCAACCAAACAAAAAAGCAATTTTATTGAAAATAAAAAACTTAAAATATTAAAATATTGGATTTAAAATATAGACTTTATATGAAGTTAATTTTGTTTTTATCGACAGGTCAGATAAACTAATTATTATTACATAAAATTAGTACAAAAAGTAAAAAAATTGGTRTTTGGTAGATTCTTTGTTGTAGCAATGCTTCTTGGCATTAAATTTTGTTTTTCCAGAAGCACAAAACAAGTGTCAATAACAGCAAAATTAAGATGTTTGGCAACCCACACACTCAGCTCTGCTGCTCATCTCACAAATGCATGTTCCTTACAAATGTGGCACCATTTAAAAGGGAAATCAACAGTATTTATCTAGACGATAACATAACGATGTTCTCTTCAGTTCCTGATGGTCGACTGTCAGCTGATGATGGGAACGATGAGCTACCGCCTGAGTCCAGAGGAATACGTCAACGCCGCCCTCATGATCTACCTGGACATAATCCTCATTTTCCTCTACCTGCTGGGGAGGAGGTGAAACTGACCTCGTTTCAACACCATATTGTATTAATTTCACACGAATAATTACTGTTTTATTATTGTATTAAGAAAAAACACAAAGTGAGATGAATGTTTTTAAACAGTTTTTATTATAAGAACCTTCACCACGCAGAGCAACTTGAACACAAAGTAGTGCAAAAACTTCAACATGTTTTCTTCTTCATTTCCTGTAAAATAAACTTGTAGATTTTTGGTCCATTGAACAAGAAATAAACAGAGTCCAACATCACAAGGATGTGAGAAAATTAATAAAAAATAAAAACACAGAAACAGTAAAAAAGATGGATTACATTTGCCTCATATATGCTTAACAATCTTAAACATTTTTTATGATTTAAATGACAAATGAACTTGTTGTGATAAAAATGCACCAAATTTGGTAGAAAACWGTTATTTAACTAAGACAGAACAAGTTTTATGGCTGCTCCGAGAAAAAAAAAGAGAGGAAGATTTTGAGATAAAAGTTGACAATTCAAAATAAATTATTCTAAAAGACATGGGAACATTTTTCAGGATTAACTACTGTTTATTGCTTCCTCTGCAGCAAAACTCATTTCAATCCTTCACAATAAGAGTCTGAAACACACTCTGAAAACTCCTGGTGGTCTAGAGGCTGTTTTACGGAAGAACAAATGCATTAAAGATCATTTTTATACCAAGTTAAAAGTCAGATTTTCCTCTTTAAAAAAACTCAGTTGGGTTCACTTCCTCCCATTTTAATTTGAAAGACCTCTTTCTGGCAATAATACATCAAATTTTATCTCAAAACTGGTAAATCCACAAACAAATACCTTGGGTTGGACTAAGACACTATTTAAAAAGCTTAGTGTTCATGTTTAATCATGGAAAATTCAAATTTATTACAATTATTTTAAGGTGAAATATGAGGCTAAACTGTACTTTCACAGAATTTTCAGTCTGAGATACAAAAATAGCAGCCACTCTGAAAGGCAGATTCTTCTTCCACCAGTAAACAGTAATAATTTATGAGTTGCAGTGGGATTAAATATTTCTGTTATCTGCCAAGCAACAGTGGAGTGTTCAAAACTCACAGCTCATCCCCCTCAAAAAATAAAAATAAAAAAAAAGTCCATAAATATCAAACAGGAGAGGATCCCAGATTTCACACAGTCTGACAGTTTTCACCATAGAGAGGAGTAGTTGAACCGGACCCGCAGCAGGTACTTCATCCGAACCTGAGCCGGATTATAAACTATGAACTCATTGTAGAGGAGGGAGTAACCGTTGGTTCTGCCCACTCCTGTTTTCACCGGGGGACCCATCGGAACCGTGGCGCCATTCCTGAAAAGGAAGAGAGACAAGAAGTCAAATAAACCATGACATTACCATATTATGTAGGCCGCAAAGAATTTTGGGTAAATGACCATGTGTAGCAGCTGCTCCGGTGCCAGCTCTAGTCAACTTCAACATTTATTCTTTGGTTCATGAAAGGTGCACTCCAGCTTTAGCCTTTTAGCTTTCGCATTAGCTCCCATGYTAATGTACATAAATGGCAATTTATGGTGTTAGCTCAAAAAATGTACTGTTAGCACCTGACCTAATAAATGTATTGTGACATATGGTTTTAGCTCCTGAGCTAATATATATAGCACTAGCTTCAAGGCTAATAAATGTAGCGTTAGCTCCAGAGCTAATAAATATAGCACTAGCTTCAGGGCTAATAAATGTAGCGTTAGCTCCAAAGTTGATAAATATAGCACTAGCTTCAGGGCTAATAAACATAGCACTAGTTTCAGGGCTAATAAATGTAGAGTTAGCTCCAAAGCTAATAAATATAGCACTAACTTCAGGGCTAATAAATGCAGCGTTAGCTCCAGAGCTCTGGTGTTAGTTCCAAATTGTTTCAACACTTACGCTGTRCAGAACATATAAACTAATACAAAATATAATTTTGTCACATCGTTTTTTAGCCTTGACTCTTTGTGTTTTAGTCTCAAAGATCCTTTAACGTAACAAAGTTGTCATGAAACTGTCTGTGTAAATGTGACGACAGCGACTCACAGTTGAACAGTGTTTTTAAGGTCAGGTCCAGTTTGACCCAGACCCTTGGTGCTGTGTTTTCCTGCTGGCAGATTATTGGCCTCATAGTCAGCGTCCAGCAGCTCGTTACAGTCTCCCAGGGCCACCTACACACACACGCACAAAACACTACTTTAACATGACACTCAGATCATTGAGTGGATTTTTACAGGTTAGTCTAAAGTTGTTTATTTTTAAGGGAACATTTTCGATGTGTTCCACAAGTTGACATTTCTGAGTATCAGAGATTCCTGACCAACCCCAACCTCTAAATCCAACATGGCCGCCTCGGGCATGGAAAGTTGTGATAACAGAAATAAACTTTTTATTTTCATTCCAGTCTGGTTGCGTCTCATTAATGTGAACAAGTTGCTAAAATGTTTGTTAATGGTAACTATTAGGAAATCCTGCTGGTTCTCTGACTTGGAACCGGAACCAGAACTGGGTAATTTAGGATTATTTTGCTTTTTTTTCTCCCCGTGAGCTCAACAGAGTAAAATAATAAAAAAAAAATTATGCTTGCTACAAATAACTTACAATACAAGCTTCTGCAGCAAAACTTCGGCTGTTTATCGACACTGGCAGCTAAAAAAAGATGAACTCACCTCACACAGAAGCAGAAGTCCGATGTGGTTGCTCTGGTTGGCAAAACAGTAGTTGGCACTTTTTGACGACATGTCAGCAAAGTAGATACCTTTACCAAACTGAAAGAAAAAAAAGATGTTTATAATTTAAGGCATTTATTTGGAAGTTTCTGGAACATTTCAACAAAAAAGTAGAAAAAAATGGAGAATTCTAGACTTTATATTATTAGTTTTACAGCTTCCTGTCCTGTTTTTAAATGTGCTAAAGAAATAAACTTTGATTGAATCTTTTATTTTTTAACTATCAAGTTTAGGTCATTTGGGTATTAAAAAAAACAAAACAAGATGGAGCGTTCACTGTACCATGTAACCAGTAACGGGGGCCTCGGGCGGGGCCACTCGGAGGCCCTTACTGAGGATGCCGACCCAGTTGGAGAGGCGGGAACCGTGCCACAGCAGAGTCCTGGTCCCAACACAAGACAAATATTTTTTATTTTCCTTTCAGATGAAWCGATGCACGACCCCGTGGATGAGCTGACCTGTTGTGTAACTGTGAGAGGAAGCTGTTGCTCTCCTCGTCTCTGTCCACAGAGAAGACGTCGAGGACGGTCATGGTGTAGTCGCAGTGGGTTGGGGCGTGAGAGGTCTGCAGATACTTCTCCACCACCTTTGAACGGAGAGCGGGAACGTGTTCAAATCAGCCGACTCTCTAAAGATGATTTATTTTTTAGAATTTGACTTCTTATTTCAGGACGAGTTGATTATATGGAGTCTTTGATGCAAGGAAGAGAAACAAATRGGAAATTTTATTTTATTTAAACAGAAGCAGAGAAAAAACAGCCACTACTTGTTAGCAGGGAGGGTCTAACAGCAGGTCATGTACAACAAATGTCAACAGGTAAATTCAACAAAGTCATACTTTACTGTCGTTTTGTTTCCAAGCTGTCTTTCTTCTATGTTTATACTAAAGCATGGAATGACATTCCTCAAAACATAAAGTCCATTTCAAAACTACAGCCC